ACGCCTTGCTGGTATGTTAGCCTGATTGACAGGGCACACTCAGCGAGGGGCGAGGGGGAAGGGAGAAGGTAAAACAGGATATTGCAACACACCACAACATATTTCCAAAATCAGGTATTTTTTAGAAATGTATTTCTCTCTCTCTTTCTCCCAGGACCAGTACGTCTTCCTAAACCAGTGTGTCATGGATATTATTAAATCCCAGAGGGAGAGGAAAACGGACCTTATCTACCAAAATGTGACAGCAATGGCAATCTATGAAAACTTCCCACCAGGGCCAGCTTTTGGGAAAGCCAATGGCTACCATGCATAGTCCAGAAGGAACCCAGTGCCTCCATCCAGGACATGTTGCCTGCCCATTGGAGAGGGAGGTGTCCGACTCGTGTTTTCTGGGATTGTGTGCTGTGTCTCATGTCTGGCTTCTCCAGTTCTGTCTGCATTCAAAGGTGTGATCTACAGGAGGAAAAACACAATGCTGGCAGGAGTTGTAGACTCATATTAAAAAAACCCAAACAACAAAACCGAAGCAAAACTTTTTAAAGTTAACAGAGGAATCTTGTTTTTTCTTGGGAATTTAACAGTACTGATAGGTGAAATAGCATTTGCCGTATGAACAGTGAACTAGAGTTTAAATGTTAAAATAATAACACAAGCTTTTTATTACAATTTTATATGATTTCATTTATAGACACCAGGCTGGTGGGTTGTTTTAATATATTTAATTATAAGTTTCAGGAACATATTTTATCTACTGTATCTGGTTACTTAGTTAATAGATATGTGCCTCTGTGATCTATTTTTTTTTTCCTGTGTTCCTTTTTATTTAAAAAAGGAGTACAAATGGCTCCTTCAAATGGACATTCATACTTGGAAATTGTGCCTTTTCTAGTTGCTACTCTAGAAAAAAAACAGCAGAGATTCTATTTTTATACTGAAACTCTTAATGAGAACACAGATTTTTAAATAAGGCTTATGTCAAACTTAACTGTAGTTGCACTGTTGGCAGGACTCTCCAGAAGTTTGGAGGTGAGCTTTGTTTTTGCATTTCACCACAAATATCCCCTGCCTTAACGTTTTGGTGCCTCTGCCAGAGGAAAAGGAGTGTGGTCTGTCACTCCGAGCTTTAACTGTAGATAAAACCAGAGCAAGTGAATCTGTGAATGTGTGTGCAGGGGATGCGTGGGCGTGTGGATGAAGGACAGAATAGCTCCTCCCTGTTCCTGATATTCCTGTTTTTATACAATTTATAATGATTTATTTAAAGGTGCAATATATGATTTACTGAATAATGCTCACTCTAATAGAGTTTTTCTCAGGTTGGTGTCTTTTTATCATTGTTGCTGTTTTTCCTCAAATATATAAATCTGTGAAAATGCTGAAACTAAGGTTCCAAGTGTTCAAGCACTCCCAAACAGATCGACTGGCTTTACTGTTTCTACCAAAAGACATTGCACAAAATTCTGCTGTAAAGACAAATTTCTTGGTTGTTTTAGCCATTCAAAACTGAGACACATCTTACCTGCCTGCATCTCACTGATCCAGTGTAATTATTTTGTAATTATTTGCAATATACTGCTGCTTTTGTTTTGACTGGTCCTTTTAGAAACTGAAGGAACAAGCAGAAATCCCCCATTTGCTGATTTCACAAGTCAAGGATCAGATTGGATTTATTTTGCTGGTACATAACCGTTAGACTTAGGAAGGCATTACCAATGAAGGACTTAGGGTGGGGTGGGGAGAAGGTGTGTTTTTTGGTCTTTGGATCGTTGCACTGGTTGCATTGTAGATAAATATGAAGTTTATGAATAATGCTATAGAATAGCTGTAAAGCAGGGAAAAAATCTTATGAAGGTTTAATAACCAGAGTCCCTGGAATTCTGCTGCTTTTTTGTTGTCGTTGTTTTGGGGGTTTTTCTTTGTTTTAGTAGAGTTGTCAGAAAAAGCTACAGATGCTGGGAGTATATGTGGCTTTACAGTGGAACCTGGCAACCTCACAGGATCCAATGTCAGCTGAAGGAGAACATAGGAATTCCTGGTGCACAACTGTAACTTTACAAATATCCTGAGGAATTTTTAACAACCTGGTGTGAAACTGTGGTGTGCTGTGTGAGCAAAACTGGAGGACAAACCACAGTGCACTTTTGGTTGTTAGGTTTTGGGGTTTGGTTTTGTTGTCTGTTTTGTTGGTTTTGTTGGGGTTTTTTTGTTGGTTTTTTTTTTTTTTTTTTTTTTTTTTTTTGTTGGTTGGTTTGGTTTGGTTTTTGTTGTTTTTTTTTTTTGTAGCTGCCACTTGTGGGTTCTTGAATATAGTTTTGTTCCTCTTTCTCTGGAAACACTTTAAAAAACCCTCATCTTGAGGTTGCTGATCCTGCCCGGCTCCATCCAAACTGGCAGCCCACAAAGTGGATCTCTCATTTGCATTCTTCCTAAGCTGCTGTCAGATGACAAAGATAAACCACTTGCACCAAACAGAACCATTCCAAAAGAACTGGGAGGGAGGAAAGTCTGCCCTTTACAGTCATGTTATTTTCTTTAACTCTCTTATTCTTTTAATTACTGCACATCTGTGCAGGGCACAGAGCCAGTATTTGTTATTCCAGGTCTCCCAAGAACTTGCTTCCTTAGAGTGGCAAGTGCTCTTTCGCTTCAGAAGGCCCTTGTTTTGTGTAGCTTAGAGGAGAGGGAGATGAGTCTTCCATGCTAGATCATGTTGTTTCTATTCTGTTGCGGCAGAACATCAGAAAATGAGCTAGGACAGTATGTGTTTGTGCCTAACCACTGCCCAGATCCTCTTACAGAAAACAGATGGATCTGACCCATTGTTTTGGTGTTGGAAGCAGGCGTCAAATTCTCACGTGTGCCATCATCTAAAGAGTATCCATTTTTAAAGAACTGTTTGCAGGTGTTTTCCAAAACTGACACATTGTGAGAAGAGACTGAAAGTTGAAGTAATTGACCTCTTGATTTTGTGTACGGGTGGAAAAAGTTGGTAAGGCTTAAACTGTTGCAAACATAAAGTTGGGTGTAGTATCAGTGTGAATAAGTAGGACATTCCTTATAGGATGTCTCTGCAGGAAAAGGACTAGCGGTAATGCTCCACTACCTTGTGGATGTGTCTTGCTCAAGACAACTTGAATTCCTGCAAATGTTTTCTCCCTGCCCTCTGATGTTCTCTGTGTTCTAATTGCTGAGATCTACTCTTTGGTCGGTGTTTTCTTTCCATTGTTGCTTATTTAAAGCTGTCCACTGAAAGCTCCGCTGTGTGACAATTGCATCTCTTGCATTTCTGTTTAACTCTTTCTTCCCATTTAGGGCCTGCTTAAGAAGGGAAAAGTTGATGTGTTTCAAATAAGTGACTGTTGAATATCTTGAAATGATGTACAAATTTTATTGTTTTCATATTTGTTGTACAGGAAATTTCAGTACATGTCTGTAATATTTTTAATGGTTTCATTTGTTCTTAAAAATATAAAAATAACAATTAAAAAGCATCATCCTAGAGCACTTTTGGTCTTATTTTTCCTTTGTTGGGATTCTGTTTTGAATCAAATTAATTTGCTAAAATACGCATTTCATTTAGAAGGGCTTTATAAATGGAAAGTGGGCTCCCATCCTCTGGGGTGGCACTTGAGTCAGTTGTGTACTGCAGTCACTGGAGCTTCCTGGGACGGTGATAATCTGTCATTCAGACTTCCCTGGAAGGCCCTGGGTCTGATGTCAATGTGTCCTGGCAGTTGGTATCTTCTCTAAAGGAAGAGCTTGATACCAGGTAAGGAAACAGGACCATCATCCAAGGTTCATCAAAGATTTGCATTTGCTGAAATAGCTCCTCCTTGGGGAGGAGCAGTGTTTCAAAGACTTGATTGCTTCCAGAGATACAAGAGTGAGGACTGTTTCGTCTGTTGAAGGTATTGCATTGTCTGGAGGTGGTGATAGAAGGGGATGCAGAAATATCTTTGTGGTGCTATAGCTGGCTGCTGGATTAAAGATCACCTGCCTGTAGATGCATAGAAAATTTTCTCAGCTAAGTGCCTTTCTCCCAGAATTCTTAGTTGCTGTTCCTGGCTGTCATCTGAATCACTCCTGAGGAGGATCACATGCCTGGAGGGTGATACTGGCACTCAGCAGCTCTCCAGATCATCACAGGGTGCTTACCCTAAACTAAAATTTTGTGATCCTCTATTGTGGCCACATTTCTCTTCACAGAGAAAAGCAAGGCACAACTTCCCAAGGATATTTTCTGGCAATCACAGCAAGGAACCTCAGAGAAAGAAAAAACAATTCTTATCTCAATTGCTGCTCCTCTTGTTGTGCACAAGTGGAATGCATTGTTGAAGATTGCTTACCTGAGGGGAATTGGTAATTGGATTCTGGTCTGTGTGTTTTGATTGACCAATTGAATCCACATGTGTGTGTCAGGACTGTTGGCTGAGTCACAAGATTCTGCTCAGTCAGTAGAGTGCTTGTGAAGATTCAGTTTAGATGTAGTGTAATATAGTATAGAATAATATAGTATAATAAAATAATTAATTAGCCTTCTCAGATCAATGGAGTCAAATGCATCATTCCTCCGCTTTGTCAGGATTGCCTTGCTTTCACAATACTTTGTGGCAACTGCTGTGATTTTTGAGACGACTGCATGGTGAGATGGGCAGAGCCAAGTGTGATTGTTTTGTCCTTGTTCAGGGGGATCTTGTGCCAGCCACGTCATCCTGGTCTTACCTTTGTGCTATTAGAACTTCAGGAAAGCCAGCTGTTCTGGCTACCATTTGGAGCCTTAGTCTGTGTGGCTAGAACTGAACCTGAATATCTGAAAATCACATTTTGTACCTGGTCTTGTCATGTATTAGTTTTACTGCCTTGGAGACTAAAGAGATAGAGGTCAGAGAGGAGAGGATGTGATGTTTCTGTCCTGTTCTTGCCTTGATAAATGGGATGTATTGATGCTGCCCTTGCATGCCCTTCCTGCCTGGGTGTTATCAGGCAGCAGATATGAGATGAACATGTGGCTGCTTTTGTGGAAGCAGGTCAGAAATGGGGGCTTGGGAAGGAAAACCACCTGAAATATTTGCACAGTGTGCTATTCTGAAGCAAAAAGAAAAAGCCAAGATCTTAACAGCTCCTGGGTCTTCTGGGTAAAAACTAATTTAAAAATGCAGATGCAATCACTATGGTCAAGGGCTGGAATGAGGGGCAAGCAAAGATTAACAGCTTACTTGCTTCTGAGGTGGGCAGGTACAGTGTTCTCTGCTTCCTGTACTCATCAGAAAAGTTATTGTGCTTCCTTTCTTCTTTTGCTGTGGCACTGCTTCAGGGAGTCCCTTTCAGCTCCTCATGTAACACCTAGTGGTGTTGAAAAAACTCTGCCTGCAAACTGTTCCATTCTCAGCACTTTGCTGAACTGTTTTTGATGTTGGCACCAAACAGTGCTGCTCTCCAATCTTGTGTTTCATTCCATGTTTGTTACCCTTGGACTTTGCAAACCCTTTGCCTGTGCCAGCCTCCTGCCTGTGAGGGAAGAGAAGGCAAATGAAGCAGAAAACCTGAGTTGGAAGCACCAGGAGGAGCTGCTTCCCGCCAGCATTGTTGGCTGAAGGGAAGGAGCTGTTAGTACATCTCATGGAGGGGAGAAGCTGGGAGCCCTTCTCAAGCTATTTCTTAAATCTGAAGAAAAATGTTATGAATTCGGGCCTGTTCTTCTTAGTCCCTGTTAACAGAATCCCATTTATTTGTTCAAGTTGCTTTTTCCTGGGTTTATTACATTTTAAATTAATATACATAATTTTCTGACAGCCA